CATTTTTATTTTTAAAAATGCAGCAAGTGCAGAGATTTATTATAGGTTTGATCATCGAAGACTTAAAATTTTGCTTCGTACGTACAGTACATAGAAATAGTATTCAATAAATTTTTTATTCACAGATCCGAATCATTATAATATTTAATTCAAACAAGAATTAGATTTGAAAGAAATCTAAAAAACATTAAAATTAGAGATGTACAACACGTGAATTTGCTTCAATGTATTGTTTCATGCAAAAAAAGGGCAGCACTAAGATAAAAGAAATTCTTACAGAATCAGGGTTATTTTCACCCGGGTACATCGGGTAAACTTTTATACCCGGGTAACTTGCGAGTTCACCCGTCGGGTAACCCGGGTAGTATTTTTTTGATCGGGTACAAACACTAGTTAAAAGGTTATTTAAAATATCAATAACATGAAAGCAGAGTAAATTTTAAAAAGAACTTTCAAATTTTGTAGCACTGAAGTGAACTAGTTGGGTCAAAAGTTCATAAATAAAATAATAAGTTTTTAACAAGAGAAATAATAAATAAAAAGAAAGAAAAATTATATTCACAAATAGAAAAAGCTACTAGTCTTAATGTTATATGAGTTTTTTAAGAGCAAATGACTTGCTATTTCACTTCAGATTTCTTTATAACGATAAGTTTGTTTTGATTTCTATTTTATAAGTTACAGTAGCAAGCTTTTAAAAATTTTGTATTACAACTAATCATTTTTTAATATCAAGTATAACGTGAAAATCAAAACAAAAAAATACAGTTTAAGACTAAAGATATTTGGTTAAAAAAAACTGTATTCCAAAATTTAGAAGGAATTTTTTAATTGATATGATATGAAAGTCAAGTTCATGTTACATCTGATTTTGTAATATTAAAACAGCCTATTTTTTACATATCGATATTGAGTAAATCGATTTTAAATAATGATTTACAAAAAGTAATATATACAGTATAAAATTTTTAACTTAAAATTTATTTTATAAAACTTTTTATTATATAATTAGCTTTGGTAACTTTAACTTTTTTATTGAATATATGGGCTAGGTGCTAAGAAATTGACAAAAACAAAGATCTTTGGAAAATTAATTTTTATGTTGTAAATCTTATAATAAATCATAAGAAAATGCAAACTTTAAGAAGCTATATTGCAAAATTTTATTAACACAACTACATTTGAGTCTTAAGTGAAAAATGATCCTAATTTTATTTTAAATTGATTTATATAAAAAATAGCTTTTGAAAAAATTGTCAATTTCGTTCCTTTTCTCAGCACCTAGCCCATATCGATATATAAAAATGGGCTGCTTTAATAGATCACACCCCATATAGCCCCATCCCCTGAGAGTTCCCATATGTCGGTAAGATCATCCGAAAACTGGCAACCTCAAAAAATAGTTAATGTTAACGTTAAAATATTTATTTTATCGGATTTAAAACATGCCGATTATTTTCACATTAATAGAAGTTAATTTACGTAACATTGCATATTCATTTACGTTTAGGTCTTATGTTATATAAATAAGGGAGTATAACATTTTGAACTACGTATAATTTTTTTGATAAAAAATGTAAAAAAATGGCTATATTGTCGTTTATCCAAAATATCGATTTATTAAATTTTCTTGTCCTTGTAAGTTTGGGAGTGGTAACATATGTAGCACAATTCTATTTCCGTTATTTCACTAGAAAAAACCCTCTCCCTGGACCCATACCATGGCCAATTATAGGTATGTGGGAAAGCGATATGGCGATGGCCAATAAATTTCAAAAAAAATATGGTGATATCTGGGAAGTCTGGAAATGGTCAGAAAGACATGTATGGATAGGTCGTGCGGACTTGGTTACAAAATTGCTTAATCCTTCTCATTCAAATAATAATTTTCCTTTTCGTACAACCGAAAATGAAGGCCTTGATTTAATGGATATGACATCTAAGGGTGTAGTTTTTAATCTTGATTGGAATAGTTGGAATTTTAACCGAAATTGCGTGAATCGAATTTTGAATTCACAGAAATTTTTAAGGCAATCTATAGTTTGCACTCAAAATCTCTTTACAGAAATGGAAAATTATTGGTTATCAAATGGTCTTGATAAAGAATTGGATCTCGCACAATGGATGACGAGATTTATGACTGATTCTACTCTTATTACGACGACAAATAAAAATTTTTATGCTTTGGCTAACTATTATGATACATTGTCTAACACGGAATCTTCGAAATACCCTTTGAAAGATTCCGAAAGATTTGTTGCAGCTATTAGAACACATTTTATGGCGTGCATATTCTTCAAAGATACTCCAAAATATCGATATAATATTAAGTCGGCGCATTATAATCACCCGAAAATTGTGAAAGCATGATCACCTCGAATTTATTGTATAACATTTCTCGAATCTAGAGGTCGGAATCGGTTGTAAAATTTAAAACCCGAATTGTTTAAATACGATTATGA